TTCCAACCCAAACCGTTCTGGGATTTTCTGCTTTCTCTAGTTGGTTTTAGACATTATCTGCTGTTGTTTATCTGTCCTGAGAGATGCTGTAGTTTAGCAGCTGTAGGGAAGGGCTGCAGCTTGGGGATCTGCCTGCACAGCCAAAGCTGCAGCAAGGATTGTTCTCTTCCTTTCAGGTGCTGGTGATGGAGCTGAATGACGAGGATGCAGAACACGTGGTGGACCATGCTGAAGCAGATCTCCTGCAGGACCAAGAGGGCTATCGGTGGAAAGGTCACGAGAAGCTAAAAACTCGAGATGGGCCTGTTCGATTTGAAGCTGGTTTTCAGCCATTTGTCCTTGTCCAATGTCAGCCACCAGCTGTGGTCACCTCTTTGGCCCTGCACTCGGAGTGGAAGCTTGTGGCCTTTGGTACCAGTCATGGGTTTGGGCTTTTTGACCACCAGCAGAAGCGACTGGTCTTTGTCAAGTAAGTGTCATCTTTCCAGGGGGTCTGTGGTAATCCTTATTTTAATGATGACCTGGAATTACTAACAAAGCAAGGTGTGATAAGTGATTTCTCAAGAACTGTCACTGTAGCAAAAAGCTCTGCTTCTTTTTTCTTCACCCTTGAAGATCTTCCAGAGTATACAAGCATGTTCCAACATTTGTGTGCATCCTGTTGGACTCTTGAGAGTGATTGCCACCCAGTAGAAGGTGACCATGTGGCTACTGTCTCCCTCTTCCAGGTGCACACTGCATCCCAGTGACCAGCTGGCCTTAGAAGGTCCCCTGTCTCGGGTGAAATCCTTGAAGAAGTCCCTCCGTCAGTCGTTCCGGCGGATCAGAAGAAGCCGCGTGTCCAGTAGGAAGCGGAGAGGAGGTGGTGGGAATGCCTCCGAGGTGAGGGGTTCACCTTTTTGGGGTCTGTCTGTTTGCAGCTTGGAGCCTGCTAAGACTGCCTAGAGCAGGAGGTTGTCTCAGCCCTGCTATCAAATCAATAGCTGTTGGTATGAGGGAAAAATGGCAATTTGTGTTAGATAAAAACAGGCTCATTTTTAGAAAAGATCAGTTCAGAGGACAAGTTCACTGGTGTGCCTTTCTATTGCTGCCACGCTCCCTCTCTTCCCTGCTGTGTCTATCCCTGACTGACAGAGTGTCTCCTCACCTGTGAAGGTGCAAGAAGCAAATGCCAAGTTTGACCAGGACGTGTTGCAGGAGATGGAACTGGCTCCAGTCCAGCGCAAGATCGAAGCGCGCTCAGCAGAAGATTCTTTCACTGGCTTTGTGCGAACCCTGTATTTTGCTGATACCTTCCTGAGAGACAGTGAGTAGGAAAAACATCTCTCTCTTCTTCCAAATGGGTTTTTACTGCTTCTGCCAAGGAGTGTATTAGGATTTACTGCCAGGAAAATTCGGCACCTCCTGTGTCCTACTTTGTGCTGTGCTGAAAAACTGATATAGAACAAGAGCATATGTTGTCATGTAGAATTGCTGTTTAGCCATTCTGGGCTGCTGGCTAATCCAAGGCAAGTGGCCATTCATCTTTGAATCAAGTCTTTATGTATGATTTTCAAACATGCTGTATTGGCATCTTGTATAAACTTTTCTCTCATTCCTCTGATGTTCACCCCTGTCTCCAGCAAAGCCTTTTAATTTTAATGAAGGTGGTGGCTGGTTGTGCATTAGAGCCCAAAATGATAGCATGCACAAGTTTATTCTGCTCATCTGTGACATAAATGTGTGAAAACTTGACACAGCAATTGTGGTGGCTCATGTGGTGGTACTTTTGCCTTTGCTCAGGTGCAGCTGCCCTTTTTAAGGGCTGCTGCTGGACGTGTATTGGGACAAGAATGTTAAAAACTTGCAGTTTGTGCCTGGCGGGTCTCCCCTAATATAAAGATATTTAGGGTGCAAACAGAGGAAGCTTTTGTATAGCCAGGGAAAGCTGTTTTGTCATGGATGGTGCCTTGCTCATGGGCTTTTTTGTCACTCCAGGCTCCCGGCACTGCCCGTCCCTGTGGGCTGGCACCAATGGAGGGACAGTCTACGCTTTCTGTTTACGCGTTCCTCCAGCTGAGAGGAGGATGGATGAGCCTGTGAGGGCAGAGCAGGGTAAGTGCCTTGTGCAAGCAGGGTTCTGTTGAGTCTGAGCCATGGCTCACAGGGGTTATGGCCAGAAAAGAAGGGTCGCTCAATTAGTGCTGCTTATCAGTGATTGGAGCCAAGTGTGGCCGTGTCTGAGTTAAGCAATGCTCACTGCAGCAGCTGAGCTGGAGCTCCAGCACTGCTTGATGTGCCTCAGCCTCATTTCCTACTC